TAATTCGTTATTCATCCATCTTGAACCCAGTGAAATTTTGTCAGATACAAAGAAAGTCCATAGTAATTGTGTTTCTAAGTGGGGACAGTTTATGTACCATTAGTGGACTCTCATATGAGTAAAAAGATAACAACTTTTACATACCACATTGCAAAATGTCACTGTTACATATCTTTTGAAACAAATAAATCTAAAATTTTTCTTTAATAATCACACTATGCTTTAATCTAAGATTATAGTGCCAGTAATAGTATATGCCACTCCAAACACAAATACAAATCAAGCAATTCACTGTGCCTCAAAGCTTTTAATTTAGGTCTAAATATATTTAACAGTCATCTGGTTATCTTCTGAAGTCAAGCACAAGGACAAGAATCAAACTCCTAATTATTTGAGGCAATGTATTATATTAATCATTATTAGACACTTAAGGGGAAAGTGTACTATAAATTAAAATATTTCTCCAGTCCTGACATCTTTTATTACTACCTTGTTATAAAATTATTTTAAGATTGTGCCTATGACCTGTGTGTGCTTCTTCAAAGAAATCTGAAAGGTTGCCTGTGACCTGTGCTTGTTTGTGAAATCAGCATTAAATGATTCAGCTGATGGCAGCATACATCATCTGATTAATCATTTAATCAGAGGGTCCATAACACTCAAGCATTTAAAAATAAATTTGCATGAAGTCCAACATGACAGCTGTAGTAAGTTCAAAGGAAGTGAGTAAAAGAATGCTTAGATATTATAGTTCATGATGTCAAATCTGACATTTTAAATCCTGCTTTCGTTTTATTCATCTACCACACAACTGGCTAGCTATCCTTTTATGAATTAAGTCAGGATTATTACAGAATATACACACGTTAATCCATTTGAATCCAGATTTTTAAAAAACTGTTTATAATCTATTGATCCAATTTTTCCAAAATGGCATTGTTTAGGAACTTCATTCTGATTTTGAACAACAATAAATAACATTGCTGAACCTGGATGTTTTCAGTACCTGAGGCAACAGATATTTCAAGCTTATTTCTTGCATGAAAACTACTAATCATCATGTAGATAAGTCAGTGTCTAAATGGGATACGATAATGAAGCTGACTGCTGTATTATTTGTCAGGCAGTGGCTTCACAGTTTATTTAGGCCTTTTGCTCTCTAAAACTCCAGAAAATTATAAAAATATAAAAACTTCAGGACCCAACTCTTTTAGAGCATTCCATGTGGCATGAAAGAAATGCTCATTAGTTCAGCAAGGATTTATTTGAGCACCAGCCACATGCAAGACACTGTTGAGGAGCTGGGATAGACCAAGTGTTCTGGTGGCTAGCTCCACACTGCACACATAGTAGCACCACAGAATAATGCTGATCCAAGTCACTTTCTTTGTACAATATTCTTAGAACAAGCAGATGTTTCTTCCTCAATAGAAGTAGGAAATATAAATTTTCTCTATATAACATCACTGTTGCTTTGCACTTAAAATTTCTGCCAGTGCACTTTTAACCTGTTTTTACTCTGCCAATAAAAGGTATGAACTTCAAGAAATGAATTATATGACTGATAACTTCTTATGTGTACATGAGTAAAATATAGATCAAAAGATCTATTATTCTAATTCTAATTCTATTCTAATTCTAATTCTAAACACAAGAGTTAATATTGTTCTGTAAAACAAATTCTTATAATTCAAGATAACTCATTTGTCCTTTAACTAGTCTTATACTCAGAAATTATTAATAAGGGCAGCTATATTCATATGATCAAATTCACAAAACAGGTATCTTCTTTGATTTACTCTTGATTTATTGGTTGTTCAGAATTACGTAATTTAATTTCCCCATATTTGTGAAGGGAGAGGAAAATTTCCCCCTCATCAACTAGAGGGTGATGGGCCAAATACCCTCAAAGGGCATGAAAGGTTAAAACCGGTGCCATTACTCCCTTTCAGTGTTCCTGATCTTAAAGTACGGCCATTAATCCACTTCTACAAGCTAGACATCTGGTATCCCTAATTGTCACATCCCTCTTCCTCCAAGTTTCTGGCACAGTGTGAGTAAACATTCTTTCTTGAATGATGAATGAGTGTCTCAATGTGGTCATTAATAAGCATTTCAAGCAAAAAGATTTTGCTTATTTCTAGTTGCCAGGGTCATTTTGATCAGAGTTTAAAAAATGAAATAAATTATTTCAAATATCATAATGAACAAATTAAATACTTTCATTGAAACTATCCAGATTTTTTAGCATCCCATAGATGTGGCCACAATTGCAGACGTTTATTAGAGTACTCTCTGAATTATTTTAGAAACTCAGATCTTTATTGCTAAATTAGACTTCAACAATTTTCTAGTAGAGCTTCCTCATTATATGAGAAAGACTTTTAGGAGATCTGCAAAAGGTTATCCAGTCAGGTGGTGTATGAGCAGAGATGAAGACTAGCCATTTTCACTCTCAGTCCAATGTTTATTTCCACAACTATGCTGCAATTTCTAGGTTTTATGACTTCATTTTCATATTAGAAATCAATAAGATACTCTAGTACCTATAAGGGAAATATCTCCAAATGATTAATTTTGTCACATCATTTAGATTTCTGCTTTAAATATTAAAATAAATAGCAGTATTTTTTGATGGGTGGAAAGCAAACCCAGTTTTGTAAAAGATTAAGCACTTTCATGCTTCATTTGCAATTTATATTGTATGCGTTAAATGCAGGTGAATAAAGAAAGGATGGTACATGTTTCCCTGTTGCTTAATATTCTGAAGCAATAAAATTCTCTAGTTAAATCTAGTTGTCCATAACTGAATGTATAAAGACCCAAAGGAAGGTAAGTTTTGAGGAAATGCTTGGGGAAGTGATATAGTGGCTGGAAAAGTACTATTGGTGTCCAGTCTATTCCAAATGACTGTACAATCTTGGACTACCCACTTCCTCTGTTGATTTCAGTTTCCTCATCTGTACAATCAGAAGATTGATCTGAACAGAGGGTCTGTCAGTGGACTTCCCATTAAGCCCTTTGATGTGTGTATGTGAGGACACATTTTTTTGAAGCTAAGAGGGTCCATAGCTTCTATTAGATTGTGAAAAGGGTCTGAGACACAAAACTGGTTAATTGCCTGTGTACTATTTTAATCTGAGGTCCCTCTTAACTTGTGAAATCTTACAAAGCTATAAATAGAATTATAATTTTAGGTGGAAACCAGGAATTAATATAATTATTATCCCTAATAAGATTATTTGAAAAGCATATTTTGTACAAAGGGGTATCACCATGACCAACCATGCATTCAAGCATTAGCTGAAGAACTTCACTAGAAGCCCAGTCAGGATTTGCCATAATTACATCCATTGCACCAGACACTAGACATGTAACTTCATGTAGTAAATCTAAATATATCACAGATATTTTTGTTCTGCCTTTTTATTATCAGTGTTTTAATGGGCTATCAAGGTAAGGCTGCTACTTAGGATTACATGAAGTGGAAACAACCCAGAATAGTTTGCCAGCAAATAAAACTTCTTTCTCACAATTTTGAAGAGATTCATCCAAAATCATTTTGATTTTAACTTTTGGATAGCTGAATAGCACTGTTCTTATACTAAGGATATGATTATAAAAGACCCATAAATAAAAGTTGTTCTGCTTACTCACTTATTTCCTTCCTTTCTTCCCTTCTTAATAAACATATGCTAATTGTCTACTCTAAGTTGGAAACTCTCCCAGACACTTGTGAAATATCAGTGAACAAAATAAATATATTTCACTCTCATGGTGCCTACATAATAGAAGGGAGAAATAAAATTTAAAAAATACATTAAAGTAAGCAAATTATTTATTATATTTAAAGGTGAAGAACACTTTGGCAAAGAAAGAAAGAAAAACAAAAGAAGGAAGGAAGGAAGGAAAGAAGGAAGGAAGGGAAAGAGAAAGAGGAAGGAAGGAAGGAAGAAAGAAAGAGAAAGAAAGAAAGAAAGAAAAGAAAGAAAGAAAGAAAGAAAGGAAGGAAGAAAGAAAGAAAGAGAAAGAAAGGAAGGAAGGAAGGAAGGAAAAGAGAGAGGAAGGAAGGAAGGAAGGAAAAAAGAAAGAAAGAAAAAGGAAGGAAGAAGGAAGGAAGGAAGGAAGGAAGGAAGGTAGGAAGGAAGGAGAAAGAAAGAGTAGGGAGACTGAGAATACCAGAGGTGAGAAGAATGGCTCCAATTTTATATAGATTAAGGCAGGCCTCCCCAGTAATGTGTCAGGGCAAGGGTATGCTTGATTTATTCAAGAAATAGCAAGGAGACAGGGAAAAAGCAAAAATCATTTTGCTGTTGTAGTGGTGACATTTGTAAAATTTCATCATTGTTGACACCTCATACCGTATTAGTTTCATATTTAAAATGAAAGTTATAGTATCTTTGGTATAATCTTATTTGTGCCCCATGTTTGTCAAAAAAATTCAGTCAAAATTCTTCTCAGAATTTTAAAATCTACCTCAAAACTATGATCTCTGGTTGGTATATATTTTAAACCTCTTAGTTCCCACAAACATGTATTTGGCAATGAACTGTTATGTAATATGCAAATATGCCATTTAATAAGAGATGATGTCACTATAAAGAAATCAAGTAAAAGAATTTTATTTTGGAAATTAAGAAATTAGGCACAAAGAGATTTGTTATTCCAAGGAAGAGAAATTCCAAGACTTATAGTTAACATGAAAGTCCTCATTCTTTTTGAAATGTCACTGTTCCTTTGACATTTTACTACATTTTTTATTTCATTAACTTTCTTCTAGAAATTGAAACAATCATGATAATTATAAAATTTGCATGGCATTTATCTGGGTTAATGCCTGAAACAAGCAAGACCAATATAAAGGTAGCACATTTACACAAGGGGAGGGTCAGGTAGCTGTTCCTCACAGTAAGTGTCCTGCTCCTGCCTCCAGGCCTCACATGAAAATGAACCATAATCTCACCAGATTATAAATGTAGCACAAAGTGTACACACCGTACCTTGCCCAACTGGTCCTTTTTGATGAAGCCAGTGGCTGCTGCAATGCTCCCTGCTCCCTCCACTGTCTTCTGGGCTACTGCTGTCACACCCGTCACCACCGCTCCTCCAACATTTGTCACTTGCTCTTTGGTCTTCTCAGCCACTGGTACAAATCAAGAGCAACAACAGATTAAAGGGTGGTGGAATAACAGTGACTTAAAATCATTCCACTTCCACTAGCCATCGACTTCCATACACCTGTATCTACACATGCCGTAGACAACTGAGGGGTCAGAAGAAACAAGCAACCAAGGTGTCCAAGTGAGTGTGGCTCAACCAAACATTGAATCTCGGCTAAGATATTTTTGTTAAAGTCATGCAGTATTAAAAAGTGCTTCAAGTTTAATGATCCAGGATGTAAAGCCATGAGTGATTTGGATTTGTTTTATACTAAGGAAAGCAATTCTTACAGGTGCAGTTATAGTTGAACCAGACTCAACATGAGTATTTCTTTATTTCAATTTAGTGCCAATCCTTTGAGCTCACTCAGCAAGTTCATTTCCACCACACATTCTAAACAACACAATACATACTTGTATTTATTTATTTATTCATTCATTCATTCATTCATTCATTCATTCATTTGAGATAGAGTTTCACTCTTGTTGCCCAGGCTGGAGTGCAATGGCACAATCTCAGCTCACTGCAATCCCCACCTCCTGAGTTCAAGCTATTCTCCTGCCGCAGTCTCCTGAGTAGCTGGGATTACAGGTGCCCATAACCATGCCTGGCTAATTTTTTTTGTATTTTTAGTAGAAACAGGGTTTCACCATGTTGGCCAGGCTGGTCTCGAACTCCTAACCTCAGGTGGTTCACCTGCCTCGGCCTCCCAAAGTGCTGGGACTACAGGCATGACCCACCGCACCCAGCCCATACTTCTTATCTGTGTGTTCAGACACGGTATTATCACATATGTATGAATGACAGCATAAGAAATGGTTTTGAAGGAACTTGGATCTTTTTATAGAACTTCAGGTAGTGAAACATAGGGTTCTTAAAAGCTAACTTGCAGTAATTTTAATAGGAGCAAAGGAGCTGGACAGTATGAAAATGAAGAGGCTATTGAGCACCCTTAAAATTCGTTTTCACAAAACAAAATGTGATACGGTCATTCAGTAGGTTTATTACAATAAGTTAACATTTTTGAGAAGACAGTGTAAATAGTTTGAATTGAGTTTATAGGCAGAAATTTAATTTCATGTCAAAAATTTTCTTGTTCAGTGAAATAAGCCAGAAACAGAAAGGCAAACACAACATAATCTCACTCATGTGGAATCTAAAGAAAAAAAAAAAGTTGGTATCATAGAAGCAGAGAGGAGAACAGTGGAGGAGAGTGGAGGATGGGGACACTCATCTAAGGAAATGAAGGCACATTTTCTTGATATGATTTGTACTCCCCAGATAAGCCTCAGTCTGAGAGGAGTTACACCATGTCAGCTCTTTCGTGCTAGTCACATGATTATTGTATAGGTTTCATCTCACCAGTTGAAGAAGCCAATAGTTAAATGGTGTGGACAAAGCAATTCATTTTCAAATAGACTATGTAAGTCACAGAAGCTAAGGGGCCTGTAAGGACAAGAGGCTTTCTCCTTAGTTCAGGCAATGTGGGGAAGCCTGACATAGCCACACAGCCCAAGACCAGAAAGGGTCCACAGTATTGTTGCTCCCTACTTGTCTTTTAGGCTAGAATTTTGTACAACTACCTACCAACTCCGTGCCATTTCTAAGGATATGGCTGATGTCTCCTTAAGAGTAAGAGCTATTTACAATTCAAAGTTCGATTTAAATGCCAGTGAAAAGCTGTACTGAAAATTTTATGTTTTAAAACATTTCTGAAATGTTGATCCTTTAAAAATAGTCAATTATGTGTTTCAAGTTGTCATTTTTTTCGTTTTCAAGGACGAGAATTGAAAATTTTGCTTCAAATGAACATTTTCTTGTTATAAAATCTTGAAGCAAGATTAAAAATAGGTTTTGAATTTTTTACAGATCCAGCCATAAATTTTATAATATCTAGATAACCTTTTATAGATGTATAAATTTTAATCTAGTTTTAATGCAATACACTGCACAGTAAAATGTACTCTGCACATTATTATAATTTCACTCTTTTATTATTATAATAATAAATAAAATGGTTACATGACAAAATAACAGAGTATACAGGTAGCAATCATCGACACATTTAAAAACATTTCTGTAGAACTGGTTTCTCTAGTAGGGTCTCTGCTGACCTTGAACCTCTATTTTTCCCCCGAGGGCCTTCCACACTATTTCTCTACTCACTGACATTCCAAACGAACGGTGACAAAACAAAAGGAAAAGAGACATACTCATATTAGTACATTTTGAGTCTAGCAAATGGTACCTGTTTTTCAGCAACTGAGTTTTTTGAAATCAGGGATTCTACTTTATTTTTCTTTATATTATTTTATAGTAGATAAATAATTTAGAATATACTAAAATGAATTTAGTATCTCTCTCTAATATCTGCATTAATATAAGTAATAGGTTTATATTTGACTTTAACTAAGTTAAAAATAAAAATCCAAAAAGGAAATGTGATACCAACTTTTAGAATAGATATAGCAAAATCTAATATTTGACATTAAACAAAATTATAAAATTAAGAATATCTAGTTTTGAATTGTTATACAAATGATAGATTTAAAGAAAATAAATTTAAAACAATTTACTAAGGAAATTTAGATCATAACATGTTGAAAATTAGTTTTGTTCATTATGATGTAATAAATTTACAAGAATCAAAACCTTCAGAAAATCTCCAGTGTCAGAAATTTCTTTATACTACACTTGCATGAAAAATAAGTAACTTTATATCATAGTTTATTTTTAAAGTACCTTAAAAAACATATCATTCAGTAAGTTTAATTAAATACATTTTCATATATGATGCATTAAGTTGATAACTGAAATAATTTCCCGAGATCAAAGAGCTAGGATTTAAGTTGGTGGATTTTTCATTGATATTATCTAACTAGGATAATTTGTTTTCCTTGAACTTTGTAGGTAGAAAGCTCCCAGCCCAAGTTTACTGAAGTCTATATTTCTCCCCCGCCCCCTTGAAAAGAAATCTAATGGGATGAATTTGGGGGAAATTGTTTATTTAATATTAGAAGTTAATATTAGGTACTATGTAATAGTTTCTTGTTTCCCTGCATTAAGACTTGTAACAAGAACAATTAACAATTAGTTAGCACTTAATATGTACCCATAGCAAACATTTTACATCAGGTAAAATATGCAAATTATTCTCTCTTTAACCACTGAAGTAATTGTCTTATTTCTTCTCATAATTAGACTTAAGAACTTTATATTAAATAACCCTATTCAAAAAATTAATTCATTTATCTGATGTGGGAGAGGAATGATTATGATAGCAGCTGATTTATCCCAATGTGTTTCTCATAGCCATACTAGTTATGACAGCATTTTTGGTACTTCACTACTGCCAGGGTGGTTCATGGGTGTAATGGTTGTAAATATTGCCCATGCTGAAATCACCATGTCGTTACTGCTTAGCAACATTTCCCATAGTTTTCTGTAGAACACTAGTTTCATTCAACCCTAATAACTAATGGAGAAAGGTTTCAATAATCAAAAAGTTTGAATAACCTTGATTTTAACTATGTAATGCAAATTTCTTTACTGTAGGACATCTCAGATTCCTTAATATACCAAAGAGAAAATAAAATATGCAGAATCTCCCAACATTGTACAATGTTGGAAACTTAGGATTGTGGGCCACTGTCCTTTAGAAAACATTTTATAAAATGTTGTTTAATTGTACAAACTTCAGTCTCTCTCTCTCTCTCATACACACACACAGAGAGAGAGAGAGAGAGAGAGAGAGAGAGAGATGTGTTTACATTTTGGCATTCTGGAGAAGACTGAAAAAATGCAGTCCATCTCCAGTCTCCATTAGATCATTAGGTGACAGTAGTAGTTGGGTTTTTAAAATTTTTACCACTGACTCCAAAACTTGGTACATGGCCTTCTGCTTTCTAAACCTCATGGGTTCTTCCTCAACTACTAAATGGAACACCATTCATCTAGACTGACCCTCTTCAGATAGTAGAGTCTCCACCTGTCTGCTATCTAGCTATTATTATATTAATGCTTCACAATATCATATTTATAGGAGGTCCCTAGAAGGCAACATAGTCCATTTACTTATCTAGTTCTCTGTTGGATTGCAACAGAGCCCATTAAAGGTGCATAATTAACTTCTAACAGAACTAGTTTCAAAGGAGTCTGCTTTATTTTTACACTCCCATTTTTAAATCAAAAGTATTCATTTAAAAAATATTTTTCTACGCTAGTTGTAAAAATGTTGCACAAGAAAGTTCACTGTAAAGCAAGAAGTAACACTTATAAATATATATATTGTTTGCTTTTTGTTTTCCAGATGCTTTGTGTACACTAATTCAATGAATTATTTTATAGACGAGGAAGCTAAATCATACAGAGGTGAAGACTCTTGCAAAAAAAACCACACAGCTGGTAAAGAGTAAGTAACAAGTTGAACCAAGAAGAACTGACTCCTGTGTTTTTAGTCCTAACCACAGCACTGTATTAAGATTCCCATATCATTTTTCTCCTTTCCATTTTAGAAGTCATTGATAGGAACATTTTGTTTTTATAGGCACTATTGTGTTTAATGCTATAATTTAATTTTCATATAAATTATATTTCTGATTATATCTTTTGTTTCACCACACCTGCCAGGAAATGGGGAGTACTTACAACAGGAAACTTAATTACAGCAAGTCTATGGGCTTTTAATTTGTAAATTTTGGTTCCCCTTTGATTTTTCTATTTCTGGCACTCTCATCCTCATCTTCCTCATCATCTGATGATGATTATCATCATTTTCATCATTTTTGATATTTCTTGATTGTAGACCTAATTGACTTATTCAAATTCTTGGTAAATTTAGGCCAAATGAATTATATAATCAGAAATATGATAATTGCACAATAATATCAGTACAAATAGCTATACCATAACAATACAAATATAAATACAATAAACAATTTACTGACTGTCCAAGGGTGTTTCCTGAAACGTACTCTGAATTATCAAAGAAATATTATAATCAATGTAACTTAAGGTCAAAATATTTTATCGTAATCAACAGAAATTTTACTCTATTTTTAAAAAAATAATGGCTATTTCACATTGTATTTTTGTCAGCAGTTTGTCAATACATTTTTGGTCAGAATATTTGAATGCCCAATTACTATAAATTAAACATAGCTTATCAATTCAAAGCCATCATTATTCTTGGCAAGTAACTATATTTTTTATTTATTTATAATCGATATTTACCTATTTAAAAATACTCTATAAATAATTCAGTTTGAGTAAGACTGATATGCTGTTAGAATGCTCAGTGATTGTTTTATAGTGTCATTCGGAATGCTGAATACTGGGCCACAGTAATCACTAGATACTTCATCGTCTTTGGATCTAAGCCCAGTGGAGCTTACCTGTTGCCACACCGTGCACCACTCCCTCCTTGGTTTTGGAGCCTACAAAAACGAACACATTCAAGACATAAGTCTCAAACTAGCCTTAAATTGCTGATTAGCTAGTTTTCAACACAACTAATTTAAAAACTCAGTCTTCAGAAGTCTATAGATTATTACATCTTCAGGGAAAAAAAAAATATATATATATATATATATATATCCTAAAACTAAAAGAAGGAACTCCAGTAACCACCACAATAAATAGAAGAAAGCCAAGCTAACAGGAGGTCATCTCCAATTAAGATTTTAGCACAAAATAATAACTTTATCCCCTTTGTTCCCACATCACATACGAATTTACAGAGGAGAAAAAAGAATGAGATTACACTGGGGCTTGGTGAGAAGATAATTTTGAAATCAGAGCTGTAGAAGGTTTTTTCTTTTCTCTCTCTCTCTTTCTTCTTCTTTTTTTTTTTTTTTAAGACGGAGTCTCGCCCTGTTGCCCAGGCTGGAGTGCAGTGGCCGGATCTCGGCTCACTGCAAGCTCTGCCTCCCGGGTTCACGCCATTCTCCTGCCTCAGCCTCCCGAGTAGCTGGGACTACAGGCGCCCACCACCACACCCCGCTAATTTTTTTGTATTTCTTTAGTAGAGACGGGGGTTTCACCATGTTAGCCAGGATGGTCTCGATCTCCCGACCTTGTGATCCGCCCGCTTCGGCCTCCCAAAGTGCTGGGATTACAGGCTTGAGCCACTCTGCCCAGCCAGAAGCTTTAAAAATACAGCACTAGAGACAAATGAGTCAACCCATGAAGCAAAAGCGAAGAGGGATGGAGAGTAGGCTTTAACATGTGCTGAACACCCATTATGTAAAAAACACTTTACATATATCTTATTTAATCTTCACAACATCCATTGAATGTAGTTATATTTTGCCCATTTTAAATATCTGATGAAATTAAAAATCTGAGTTAAGTAATTTATCTAACATTACACATGTAATAATAGGCTATAAGTACATTCAAACTAGGGTTTCTACACAGGATCAGAATTTCTTCCAAACCTGGACCATTACTAAACTTGTATACAAATAAATATTATGTGTATTATTAAAATTATGCTTGTTAAAAATTTTATTCATATCCTCTCTAATGTTGGATTTTTCAGTGTAATTCACACTGTAGATAATTTATGGAATAGGCATGATTTTTATGTTTTACAGAATTGTCATACTCCTTTTTAAGTTTGGATCAGTTTACAAAATGTTACCATTTGCACTTTAATGTCATGATATACTGAGAGTGTACTTAACATAAGGTGCATTTTTCAGCATCACTTCCTCTGGGACACCTTCACTCTTTATCACAACCTCTTTCCTCATTTATATGGATACCTCCACCTTCAATACATTCCTCTGACTGCATATCTAGAGTCTCCTGAATTGCAGCAGTGACAACATCCTCAGGGGTGGCTACTTCCTATATAAATCAACTTATGTTTGATTCAAATTTTACTTCCAGCATGTTTCGCTTCCTTTCTTTGCTGCTCTTTCATCTTTACTGGTCAATTTCCTCTTTTGATTGTGCATTTTTGTGAAACATCACATGGGCTCACCACTGGAAGACAAAGTGGCTACACAACTACGGGCATTGCTGTCTGTATGAACTGCATAACACATGTGAAGAAGCGATCAATCACCAAAAAGCTTTGAAAGAAGTGCTGTGGTTTTGTCACTGATTATAATGGGTTTCTGTTATTTATGTAATGATTTGAAGGCTGAAGAGTTAGCAGCAAAGTTTGTACTTTATGCAATTACTTTCAGTATACTGTGGTAACAGAAATTTGAATTGTGTTGTTAGGGGTTGGTGTCATTTAACTAACCGTGGTAACTGGAATTTGTGTGTGCTGAAACTATGCAGAGTGAGAACAGCTGGTATTTAAGAGAATAGATCTCAATCTCTATCTCTCATCCTCACCCCCTGCACCCCATGTTGTCTTAAAAATGACTAGTAGTAAGAAATGTCTAACAGCTGGTCTGCGGTCTTTCTTCTCTGCCTCAGCAGTATCTAAGAATTTGACCTATGGTTAAATGATGAAATGTATTCTGAATCAAAGACAATAAGATAGAAGTAGAGAGTAGAATTATGATTATTAGAGGCTGACAAGGGTAAGAGGGAGGGGAGGATACGGAGAGGTTGGTTAAGGAATATGAAATTGCAGCCAAATATGAAGAATAAGTTCTAGCATTCTATAGTAATGTAGGGTGATATACTTAACAATTGTTTATTGCATGTGTTCAAAAATCTAGAAGAGAGAATTTTTCACTTTTAATGTTCCCACCACAAAGGAATGGTAAATGTTTCAGGTAATGGATATGTTAATTACCCTGATTTGATTATCACACGTTGTATACATGTATGGAAATATAATTCTGGATCCCACAGTTATATACAATTATCACATGTTCACTAAAAATAAAAGAAAAATTGAAAGTAGGGTAGCATATGACCCAGCAATCTCTCTTCTGGGTGTAAATCCACAAGAAAAGATTTCAGCATATCTGCACCCCCAAGGGCCCAACACAGTGGCTCTTGCTTGGAATCCCAGTGCTTTGGGAGGCGGAGGCAGGAAGATCACTTATAAATATATAAGGAATTTTAAAAACACTAAAACTAGTATTTGTTTAGCAAACTATAAAACATTAAAAATTAAAGTGTTTTATTTCTTTGTAAAAAACTTATCAAGAGTAATATAAATAGTGTTTGTCTTCTCATTGTATTACTTTCTATATGGAGTGGACATGTTTTTTATATTTTACAGAATTGTCATACTCTATTTTAAATTTGAATTAGGAGTTTGAGACCAGTCCGGGCAACAGAGTGAGATGCTATCTCTACGAAAAATATTAAAAATTAGCCAGGCATGGTGATGCATGCCTGTAGTCCCAGCTACTTGGGAGGCCGAGGCAGGAGGATCTCTTGAGCCTAGAAGTTTGAGGTTACAGTGAGCTATAATCACACCACTCCATTGCAGCCTGGGTGACAGCAAGACCTTATCTCCAAAAAAGAAAAAAAGAAAAACACAATAGCCACAACTAAAGTGTTTACCAATAGATAGGTAGGTAAAAAGACTGTGGTACATAGATACAATGGAATATCCGTCAGCCCTAAAAAGAATAAGATCCTACCATTTACAACATGGATGAACTCAGACAACATTATGCTAAGTGAAATAAGCCAAACACAGAAAGAAAGATATCACATTATCTCACATATATGTGGAAGCTTGAAACAAAATTCAAATGTACAAACACTAAGTAAAAAACAGGGTTAATAGGGGTGGAAAAGTAGATAGAAAAGAAGGAGATATAGGCCAGAGGATCCAAGCAAGTAGCAGATGTGTAGGATGAACAAGTGTGCAGATCTAATGTATGACGACTATAGGTGATAAAATTGTACTATATTTGAGATTCATGCGAAATAAGTGGATTTTAGCTGCCCTTGCCACAAAAACAACAAAAAAGGTAACTATGGGAGATTATGAATATATTAACTTTCTTCAATACAGTAATTTTTAGTGTCTAATATATCCCATAACATCATGTTGTATACCCTAAATATACGCAATTAAATTTATTTTTAAAAAAGAATGCCACTAGGCCAGGCGTGGTGGCTCATGCCTGTAATCCCAGCACTTTGGGAGGCTGAGGTGGCGGGATCATGAGGTCAGGAGTTCGAGACCATCCTGGCTAACATGGTGAAAGCCTGTCTCTACTAAAAATACAAAAATTAATCGGGTGTGGTGGCACATGCCTGTAATCCCAGCTACTCAGGAGGCTGAGTCAGGAGAATCACTTGAACCCAGGAGGCGGGGGTTACAGTAAGCTGAGATCACGCCACTGCACTCCAGCCTGGAGTGAGGTGACAGATGAGACCCTATCTCAGGGGGAAAAAAAAAAAAAAGAATGCTACTAAAACACACCATTAGAATTTATAATTAATTATTTTTTATAAATATGCAACATAGTTTATATTTTTGTAGTGTAACCCCAAACAAAGAGATATATATATACCTTAAATAAAGAGATAAATGAGAGTCCTCATAAGGTTACTATGTATCAAACCAATCAGCTGTTCTTTGAGGTCATAATTATTTACCAATAAACTGTAATTGATGGTTAGCCTTTAATTTATGAGTAATCTGTAATTGATAACATACAGCTACAAAATAGGTGCCAAGTAGTTATGTGACTAGCAAGATATAAATGCTGTAGGGACACCAGAGCTGATGGCTTCCCTGAGCAGAAATGTCCCCCACCAACCACATCTTGTCTTCCCAACCTCAAAAGAGCACAGAGTGGAGAAGAAGGTCAGAAGTAACACCTGTGAGTTTTAAGAATCCAGCTATCCCTGTTGTGCATGCTATGTTGACTTTGTCAGCTTAGTGAGATGAAGCACATTTTGACTTGAGAATTTGCTGTCAATTTCACTGATGGCCCCTGCTGCTTATTGAACAGAGTGGCATTGGAAGAGACTCAAAGATCATTATTTTCTTGCATTTATTGCATTTATATTACTTAGCATTATATAAAGATAATTAAATCTTTCTGCTTTTGAATTTAGGTCTAATTAATTTCTGAGTCATTTGAAGAAATTTTTGTATATTAAATTGAAGTATGTTGATTGAAAATTTGTGTACACAGATAACAAAAATGGAAGGAAAGAGACCCACAAAAATAACACTGATCATTAAGGTAGTTCTGCAATGAGTTAAAAAGTAGTTGTCAAAAGTATATTCTTACATACTTTTGAGACTGATGAGATTGAGATTACTTTTCTTATGAGGCTTCTACCAAACATCTTCAGCCATAGTGAAATTATAAAATGGTCTTTGGTCACCTCCAATCTTTCAAACTTGTTATGTAATGAAGGACAAAAGAATAAATAGAAAACATGTTGGTAAAGTAATTATTCTGTTGGAGATTTTATTTGATAATAATAGCCATGATTCCTATATATAAAAGTGTGCTCAATTATTCATATGTCCTGTTTATTATGACATTCTTACAAAAACCAGAAGGTAGTTGCAGTTTTCTAAATCATATTTTTTACTAATCAGGGAAGTGATGCTCAGAGATGTTAAGTACACTTCCCCAAGACCCTAAAGGTAATAAGTGATGTAGCCTCGAACTAAAACTTTGGTTTGTGTGATTAGTGCATGTTCCTTCCACTCTATCAGTAGTCAGCAAACTATAACCTACAAGACAATTCCAGCCCACTACCTGTTTTGATAAATGAAGTTTTATTGGAACACAGCCACACTAGCTATTGTTTATGACTACTTTCACACTTCAAAAGCAGAATTGAGACATAGATTTCTTTTTTTTTTTTTTTAGACAGGGTCTCATTCTGCCACCCAGGCTGGAGTGCAGTGGCTTGATCGCAGCTCACTGCAACCTCTGCAGCCAGCTGTATGGTTCAAGCCATCCTCCTACCTCAGCCTCCTGGGTAGCTGGCAATACAGGTGCATGCTACCATACCCGGCTAATTTTTGCATTGTTTGTAGACACAGGGTTTCACCACGTGGCCCAGGCTGGTCTCAAACCCCTGGGCTCAAGTGATCTACCAGCCTTGAGCTCTCAAAGTGCTGGGATTCAAGACCTGAGCCATGGCACCTGGCCAAGACATAGATCTCATGGCTTAAAATATGTGCTATCTGATTCCTTACCATAAAATTTTGCCAACCCCTGGATTACACTATTGTGTCTTTGCATGGTCATTTTTTATCTTAAATTCTGTGTATGTGTATAAGTTCAACTCTCAATTAGAACTCAGAATGTAACCAATAAATAATTTATAGAATGTGCTATGTGTTAAATGTCATGAGAGACATTGAAAATGATTTCAATGAACAGTTATAAAGTAACTGAAGTCAAAGAAACTTGTACTTGCAAAACTTGGAAATCTGAGGACAAATGGAAAGATGGATAAACTGCATGTCACTGATTCAGTATTCCAAATTCCATATAAAAAGGTATAATTCACACTTCATAAAATATTTAAAATTAACTCATACATTTTCTCCTCTTGTAACACTCTATTTTAATGACTTTCTGAAAATATGTTTTAAGGTAGAAAAAAGTAATTTCACTGAAGATTTGTGGGAAGATTAAGTCAACATAAGAAAAGTCTAAATAATGAGGCAGTGGCACATGCCTATAATCCTGGCTACTCAGGAGGCTGAGGTGGGAGCATGACTTGAGCCCAGGAATTCAAGGCTGCGGTAAGCTATGATAGCATCACTGCAGTTCAGCCTGGGCGACAGAGCAAGACCCTGACTCTAAAAATTGAAAATAGAAAACAGAAAAAAAAAATGTGTTGTGAAATTTGATGAGACGCATTCATATAACTCATTCCAAATATAAAATTTTCCCCACTGATCTATCTTGAAGAGATAATGTAGCTTTCTTTCGCTTTGCAGACATAGACGGAGCATGTGTTTCAGCTAGGCAACTCAATGTGCTCATCCTCCACCTGACGGTTCATCCTGTGACTCTAACTGCTTATAGTTGCCACCAGAGAATGTGAAAAAGCTCAGAGAAGAAAGAAGAGAGGAAGAATGGGCAATGTGTCTATGTTGAGTGTGTGTGTGTGTCTGTGTCTATGCCTGTGGATGAGAGCGTGTGTGTCTATTCTTTTCCAAAGAATTCAAAGTGGTTTGTAAAATAACATGCAATTGAACACAATTCAAGATACAGAAAAGAGTCAGAGCTTGGGTGTATACCCCAAGGTGGAACTTTAGGAACAAGTAGGTAATAAGCATCAATTTCTTTATTCTTTCAGTATGTTTGTCATTTGATGGATGAACTGTATCAATGTTTCTGAGAGGTCAGTAGCAGCCCTCAAGCACTTTTCTCTGTCCTCAGTGTTCAGAGAGACCAAATGATCACATGAAGTAACTCTACCAAAGACTAATCTGTTGTTTCCATTTTAGGGCCACAAATAGGTCTCTTTATACACAGCACAGGGGCATATCAAAGTCATATTTTAAAAATCAGAATGGGTTAAAATTGACAAACATTATTCATGATGGTAAAAGAAATCACAGACCCAGCAATGATTTTGATTCTTAAGAATATTCTTGATTTTTTAAAAAGACAATGTATTTTTAAAACTGTTCTCTGAAATGTAATTATGTAGGCACAGAAGCATTCATTTTTCAAAAGTCCTAAATATTAGGGCAAAATTAAAAATATCGAAAAGGAAACAGCCGCATTTTTTACTATTAGCTCAAATACACACATTCACATTCACCTACCTACATATACCTCTGACTCAGTCCACCCTTTTGACAAGCAATGATGCAAAAATGAATCAAGAGAGAGAACTACCAGCATTTAGAGTATTGATTATCCTAACCCATCAGTCATGAACCAACACCAAAGTGACATTTGGGGTTTACCTACCTACATAGAGAACACCCTCTTTTGTCTTTCCTGCTGCTTCTGCCACACCCTGTTTGGTTTTCTCAGCAGCAGCCACAACTCCCTCCTTGGCCTTTGAAAGTCCTTTCATGAATACATCCATGGCTAATGAATTCCTTTACACCACACTGGAGAACATAAAATACACTTTGAATGAGAACTTTTGGGGGAAAATAAACAAAAAACACTGAAAAATCATGAGAAACCCTCCAAAGTGTGAGACTCTTTTAAGTGTACACTCATTTAACCATTGGACAAAGCAGACATTTTTAGCTCTGGCATTAAAAATTTAGCATCTCCCATCCATCTTGGCTAGTAAAAGTCTAGCCACCTAACCATGGATTAGGATGAATCCTCTGAGTTGTTAATACTGCATTTCAGAAGTGGAGTTGCATGAAAAGAGTCACTCCTGTTTTAACTTCCCGGGGTCTAAAGGGTAACAGTGTGAGTTAGAAGCATGGAAGCTGGAGGCTTAGGGTCTGGGGCATCCTTAACATGAATCCCAGAAGAAGGCTAACAGGTTGATGGTGGAGAGGCGTAGGCAAGAGAACTAACTACTCACTCTGGGTGTGGTTCAACCTCAGGCAAACAGCGAGCCCAAGGGTGCTGGTTCTAATACATCCGAGCATCCACCCCCGCCCTCAGATATCTACCCTGAGCAGGCGGCGCTCACACTCGCGGGCCGTCTCTAACCCTGCGCCAGCCACCCGAGGGGGCGTTCTCAGCATCCACCCTAGCGGACCCCGCGCCAGCACTTGTTAACCCTTTACCACCTGTTGACTTGGCCTCCCTGCACTTCCATTTCATTATTTGCCAAAGGCAGCTTGCTTACTTTACAGAGAAAAACCAAGAGAGCGGGCAGACGGATTTCAGGTAAGAGAGAAATAAAAGTTGGATGCTTACGCTCCAGGGAGCATCCTCGCGTTTCCCGGGGAAAAGCGGATCCCGGAGACGCATCCTAATCTCTCAGCCCTTGGGGAGAAGCCCTTGACAGGACGAAAGCCAGGTCAAGTCTCTTTCCTTAGGCTCCCCAAAGGGACAAGTACTCACCTCCCAGAGACCTGGCACAGCAGGTCCTCACCGCAGCACCACCCCCTCCTGGTGCCCACGACCATTCCTCTCCCACCCGGCTTTCTCCAGGATTTCCAAAGACGCCCGTTTAGATCCACAGGTACTTACCTGTGTCCCTCTGCTTCTCCACAACTCCGATTCCTCCCTACCTCTCTTTAAAAAAAAAAAAAAATTAAACAATTCCCAAATAATATTTAATAGGGAAGAAGGAGGAAAAGGAGCGCACAGGAAGGGCGGAGGCGGCACCGGGAGGGGGACGGTCCCCAGAGGAGGCCGCTGTGAGCCGACGACGGGAGGCTGGGGGCGTGGGAGGCAAACCCGCTAACCTGTCGTCGAATGGCCACTCCCAGTTCTCCGCTCACGAGGATGGAGAAAAAGGCAGAAGGTTTGAAGGGAAGGCGTGAGGGAGCGCTCAGGACGCTCTCGGAGGGGCCGGGCCGGGGTCTGCGCTGCAGCCCGCACGCACCTCACTCCCGCGTCGCGGCGCTCGGTCGCTCGCCCCCTCTCTCGGGCCCCTTCTGGTCGTCGCCGTCCTCCTCCTCCTCGTCCTCCTCCTTCTCCTTCTCCTCGGCTCTCCGCCCCCACCGCTGATTTGTCAGCGCCTCTCCACGCTCCCCTCCCAGCGCTCGCTGCTTTCCCTGCAGCGTGCTCTTCGTTGCCTATCTCGGATGGGGATGGGGCAGGGGGCGCAGGGTGAACCACCAATTCCAGCCGCCTGCCTGGCCGCGCAAGGCGGGAAAGTGGGGGCGCTTTTGCGCCTCACCTCAAGTTCAGGGTCACGGGCACTCTTGTGGCGATTGGGAGCGGTTGGGCTTGGGCTGACGACTCTCCCTCTTTCCCATTCCCCTCCCTTCCTGTCCCCGCCTTTCCTCCGGGTCCTCCCTGGGACCACCCCCTACCCCTCGTCAGAGTCGACCTGGGAGAGCTGAGGGCCTGAGGGTCGACCACCCAGAGCAGAGCCTATCCTTTGGGGAGACAGGCAGCGCAGGGAGGTGGCTCACACCGCACCGCCGAGAGCACTTTGCCCTCGCATCGCTGACATTTAATCACGGTCACAGGCTACGTTAAGGGTCGCTTTAGTTCAAATATCCTCAAGATTTTCGTTTGCTCTTAATCCAGGTCGAGCTCGAAAGGGTCCCGCGGGTGAATCGGAGACTACTAAGGAAGAGTTACAGGTTGAGGAGGCAGGAGGAGGCTCAGCAAATCCTCTTCCCACCCCACTATCACCATTTTCCTTTCCACCAATCAGCGCCTGCCAGACGCTGATTTTCCCATCAGCGGAACGAGGAATAAATATTCCCCAGCCGTCTAAAACAAGCGGTCCTAAGGCTTTTCGCTCTAGAAATGGGACTTACTTTGCAGACCTAAGTGCATGGTCTGGTAGACAAATCCAGCGTGATTTACCCTACCAGACCATCATATCCAATTTCTTTTTCAGCCCCTTCTGAAAGGGAGATGCTACACGCCACTCACCTTTCTGACTTCTAATTCTCGTTGCCCTCAGAATTGACATCCCCTTTTCTCTCCCCCGACCCACCACATGCACAGACACACAGACGTACACACGCGAACCTCAAGACAATTTTTGCATCGCTTAACACATTTTCACCTCTTTCAGAACTGGAAGACAGCTATTCCTGGATCACACCAGAATGGAGAAGCAAGCTCCTCCCACTAGCAGAAAGCCTTTGCTTTCTGTGCCTGGATTCCGAAGATTAGTTAAGCACTGGTGGGGGCCGGCGGGGGGGGCGGGGACAACAGCTCGTTTTTGCTGTGTTTTTTAAAAATTGTTTTTATGTTTGTAGCTAATGCTTTGTCTGATTCTTGCACTCATTTGGATTCTGAAATTTGAGTAAAATCAAATGTAAACATACAAAACAACTTTAAAACCACAAGGAATAGTAAACAAATGATTATACATGAAAGACATATAGAAGATAATGCCTATGTGTTCAGTGGAAAATAGAAAAACATGAAAGTAAGATTACAAATTTTTATTACTTAAACTCTTCCTTGAACTATTGGTCTGCCCTTTGGAAAAACAGACTTTCCATAACGCAGTAGCTCATATTAATAGTTTGTGTTTGCTTAGGACCAGAGCAAGAAGGTTGGACTTGGGAGCTAGTTTGTTGTCTGGCTTGGAGACCTTGAACAAGTTATGTTCTAATTCTGTTTCCAGTTTTATTTTTTGTAAATGAGGAGATGAACTCAGGTGATCGCCCTATATTCAACTTTTTGTTATGGGAAATATTCAAACATACGCAAAAGTAGAAAGAATAAAGGACTCCCATGTGAATATCACCCAACTTTTACATTTTTTCTATGCATGGCATATCATGTCTCATTCATAAGTCCACTCACTTTATCACTACCAATCCTCCCTATTTTTTTTCACAAAATTCAAGCTTTATATACATCTTTTCAACTGTAAACATTCAGTATGCATCCACAAAATTTAAGAACTGTTTAAAAATAACCACAATGTCATTAGACGATTCTTTTAAATTTCAGTGTAATTTACACCTAGTGAAATGCTCAGATGTTGTGTCCCTTTAAATCAGTTTTGAAAAAACCATGCATTGGTGTAACCCACACTATTTTGAAGACACAGGACATTTTCATCACTCCAGACAGTTACCTTGCACCCTTCATGTGCATATTCTAGAATGTCATAAAAGTCTAATCACGTAGTATAAACTTTTTTATATCTGTCTGACTTCTTTTACTCAGCATAGTATTTGTGAGGTGATTCATGTCATTGCATGAATCGGTGGTTTGTTTTTTATTGCTTTTTGTTGTTTCTTTTTATTACTGTTAATAGTGTAAGTTTTCCATTGTGTCTTATTACAACTAGTACTTCAATAGGCTATTACAACAATTATTTAATATATTATTTCATATGACATATTTATAGTATAACAGTGACCTCTTTGAGACCTGGTGCTTTGAGTCAAATAGGTAAATAAAATGCGATATTTTAGGTCTCATTACCAGACCAATGTGAGATAATTATTTTTGGACAGTTGCATTTCTTATAACATTTGACATGATTCTACACTTTTATATGGTAATTTGTTAGTACTTTCGCAAAGGACTAATGTACTATGTTATTTAGTCATAACAAGCAGATAAATTACATTTTATGTAGCTTTTACAGACAGAGAACCTGAGCTCCAAGAGCTTTGGTGATAGGCTGAGATCATCTAGCTTTTTTAAGTGGCAGAACTGTGACAATTTAGCAGAAACTGTTACAGAAGGCACAATTGTCTCCTGAATTAGCGATTTCTGTCTGAAGCCTCACAGATTGGGTGTGGTAAAGGGTGAGAATGAAAAGGGTAGAACCCAGCTGTGTTAGAAATAGCCTTCAAATTTGGATGTGACAATGGAAATCAAGATGAACTTATGTTATTATAAAACAGTTCATTCATATTTAAAGTTTTGCCTTTTGTATACTGGTATTTCTCAATAGGGGGAGACGCTTTCTCACTACCCACAAAAAAAGAAAACTGTAAACTAATTTCATTGTCATTTTGAACTACAACTATATGTTTAACTTTTTTCACTCCTCAAAATGCCTTGAACACAGTAAACATCCAATGAGCTTTTAATTACAAGTAATATTGATAGTGATACTGCATATGTTCTAGATCTGTGTTCTTAAGGAGGCAAAGCTGCTCAAGTTCAAAGAAGGGAACTAGAAGTTAAAATAAAGATTTTTTTATTTTTGTTTTCATTATTGATGTACGGCATTGTCTTCAGTCAATCTTTAGCCTCTCTGAATATAATGTTAAACTAACTGAATGGCTTGTACCCCATAAGAAATATGAAGTAAGAACATGGAAGCATTACTAGCATGCATGTTCTCTTCATAACTACCATATTCAAGTTTGGTTTTCTTTTTGCTAAGTGAGATATAAATATTTTACCACACCTTAATACGATTGTTTTATCTGGATTTAATTCATTAATTTTGCTATAGATTAACATTCTGTGAAATATATGCTTAACCTAGACTTTGTCTACCCCCATAGAACAACTGAATTTTTAGGTATGGTATGTGGTAAACTTGTGCTATAGCAAAGACAGCAGAGTAGAATGGCATGAAAATAAAGACGCTGCCTACTAACAAATGATTAAAGAGAGGTCTGATTGAATGTGTTTAAGTGAAGACAATACAATCTTTACTGTGTTTGGATAATATTCCATATTTGTTGTGAACTCAAGGGGTGATGTAATGTTGATGCTGGAGCCACCTGCTTCTTATTCTCTATCTGCACCTTCCTCTCACCTTCTGTAAACGTATGAGAGAGATGAGGTAGTGATATCTCGGTAGGCTTCTCCTGTAATTTCACAGTGGGTACAGTAGAGAAAGCCTAATGAGTACTATTGGGAGAGCATTATGTATGATTTTGGAAAGAGGGTGAATGTGAGATGGGGGAATAAGGTTACTCTGAAGAAATATGAAGAGCAATGAAGGAGCACAGTGTTCAGATTCTCTAATATGACCCCATGGCCAACTTCATATTGTTTCCACTAGATATCATTTTAAATATTCCTGTGGTTTTGTGGTCCTAAGAATTTGAAAGCATGCAAGATGTTAAAGCCAGATAGAAAAGACATTTAAATATTTCAAAATCTAACAAGTTCAAATGACTTTAGTATTAGAAAGAAAAAAACACATTAATGAGCCCAAGAAATACATTCAACTCTGCAACTCTCGTGAGCGTGATAGACTTCTAAGAGTAAATGTACTAGATACAACCTAAATTCAGGGGCTTATCAAAGCTCTACTACTCATTAGCAGTGACTCAGAGCAAGTATCTACAACCTGTCTAATCTCTAGTTTTCTCATTTAAAATGAGAATGATATTTTACTTGTCTTGTTTGATTGTGGTAAGGAATGAATAATGTGGTTCATAGCAAAGAGCCAGGCGGAGTGGAAGCTCTCAGTACAAGTGGCTATTGTTATTATCTAGTCTTCATGTTTTGGGTGTCCTAGGACACGCTTTTTTTTTTTTTTTTTTCCATTGCAGTAGATTTCCACCTATTCCCATCCTCCACAGTCTCCCATCCCACCAGCAACACACATGAGATATCTGATGCCTTCCCATCAATAACTCTCACTTAGTATAGCAAAAAATTTCCAACCAGGGATGGAAGTTGTGGAGAGATAGAGTGGGAAAGGTCAAGGAGCATTGATAGGGGTCATTAATTAAAAAATCTACCAAACATCTCTTTTCTCTCCCTAATGTGTGAGTTACAATAACATCACTCAAAGCAGTTTGCAGCCACAGCTTGAAGAAATACAGTAACAACGACAGAATTAACATTCACTACCTTTACTAACATTTTTACGTTCTTAAATCTGGTTTCTTTCAAAAGACTTTGGCATAGTCCTGTATGAATTATGTGGATTTGCCAAGAGAAAAAAATAAAATGATACAACAAATAGTGTTCCAAGTTTGACAGACCCTTTGTGTCAGTGGCTCTGAAAGGCTTCAGAATGAATATCCAATTCAGAATCAGTCTCTAATATTTCAGATGAGTGAAGAATCAACAGACTGAACAGCATTATTAACAGAAAATAAATGAATTTTTTAAAATATAAGGGAATCTTATAATGTTTCTTATAATGTTTTGTGTGTTGTTTTGAACTGAAGTTATAATACTGTTAAAAGAATATACAGCAAATAAATATGTTCCTTACAATATCCAAAATATCCAGGAATCTAATACATTTTCCTTTCTAGATAATTTGAGAATATAAAGTGACATTTAAGAAAATTTTTAGGTCGGGCAAGTGGCTCACGCCTGTAATCCCAGCACTTTGGGAGGCTGAAGTGGGGAGACTACCTGAGGGTCAGGAGTTCAAGACCAGTCTGGCCAAGATGGTGAAACCCCATCTCTACTAAAAATACAAAAATCAGCTGGATATTTATATCAGCTGGATATGATATCATTTATATCATAAATCAGCTGCCTGTAATCCCAGCTACTTGGGATGCTGAGGCAGGAGAATTGCTGGAACCCAGGGGGCGGAGGCTGCAGTGAGCAGAGATCGCACTGCTGCACTCCAGCCTGGGTGACAGAGTAAGACTCCGTCTTAGCGCGGGGGGTGGTGGGGGGGAGCGGGAAAGAAAGAAAC